AGTGCGAGAGTTTGATAGCGAGTGTGAGAGAGTTTGATAGTGTGTGTTTGATGGTGTGTGTGAGAGTTTGATAGTGTGTGTGAAAGAGTTTGATAGTGTGTGAGTTTGATAGTGTGTGTAAGAGTTTGATAGCGAGTGTGAGAGAGTTTGATAGTGTGTGAGAGTTTGATAGTGTGTGTGGGAGAGTTTGATAGTGTGTGTGAGTTTGATAGTGTGTGTGAGTTTGATAGTGTGTGTGAGTTTGATAGTGTGTGTGGGAGAGTTTGATAGTGTGTGTGAGAGTTTGATAGCGAGTGTGAGTTTGATAGTGTGTGTAAGAGTTTGATAGCGAGTGTGAGAGAGTTTGATAGTGTGTGAGAGTTTGATAGTGTGTGAGAGTTTGATAGTGTGTGTGGGAGAGTTTGATAGTGTGTGTGAGTTTGATAGTGTGTGTGAGTTTGATAGTGTGTGTGGGAGAGTTTGATAGTGTGTGTGAGAGTTTGATAGTGTGTGTGAGAGTTTGATAGCGAGTGTGAGTTTGATAGTGTGTGTGAGAGTTTGATAGTGTGTGTGAGAGTTTGATAGCGAGTGTGAGTTTGATAGTGTGTGTGAGTTTGATAGCGTGTGTGAGTTTGATAGTGTGTGTGAGAGTTTGATAGTGAGTGTGTGAGAGTTTGATATCAAGTATAAGAGTTTGATAGCGAATGTGACAGGTTTAATAATGTGCGAGAGAGTTTGATAGTGTGTGTGAGAGTTTAATAGCGAGTGTGAGAGGTTTGATAGTGTGTGTGAGAGTTTGATAGTGTGTGTGAGTTTGATAGTGTATGTGAGAGTTTGATAGTGACTGTGAGAGTTTGATAGTGAGTGTGAGTTTGATAGTGAGTGTGAGTTTGATAGTGAGTGTGAGAGGTTTGATAGTGTGTGTGAGGTTGATAGCGAGTGTGAGGGAGTTTGATAGCGTGTGTGTGTTTGATCGTGTCTGAGAGAGTTTGATAGTGAGTGAGCATTTGATAGTGTGTGTGAGAGTTTGATAGCGAGTGTGAGAGGTTTGATAGTGTGTGTGAGAGAGTTTGATAGTGAGTGTGAGAGAGTTTGATAGCGAGTGTGAGAGTTTGATAGCGAGTGTGAGAGAGTTTGATAGCGTGTGTGAGAGTTTGATAGCAAGTGTGAGAGTTTGGTAGTGTGTGTGAGAGGTTTGATAGCGAGTGTAAGAGAGTTTGATAGTGAGTGTGAGAGAGTTTGATGGTGAGTGTGAGAGTTTGATAGCATGTGTGAGAGTTTGATAGTGTGTGTGAGAGTTTGATAGCGAGTGTGAGAGTTTGATAGTGTGAGAGAGTTTGATAGTGTGTGTGAGAGGTTTGATAGTGTATATGAGAGAATTTGATAGTGTGAGAGTTTGAAAGCGAGTGTGAGAGGTTTGATAGTGTGTGTGAGAGTTTGATAGCGAGTGTGAGGGGGTTTGATAGCGTGTGTGAGTGTGATCGTGTCTGAGAGAGTTTGATAGTGAGTGAGCATTTGATAGTGTGTGTGAGAGTTTGATAGCGAGTGTGAGAGAGTTTGATAGCGAGTGTGAGAGTTTGATAGCGAGTGTGAGAGAGTTTGATAGCGTGTGTGAGAGTCTGATAGCAAGTGTGAGAGTTTGGTAGTGTGTGTGAGAGTTTGATAGCGAGTGTGAGAGTTTGATAGTGTGAGAGAGTTTGATAGTGTGTGTGAGAGGTTTGATAGTGTATATGAGAGAATTTGATAGTGTGAGAGTTTGAAAGCGAGTGTGAGTGTGATAGTGTGTGTGTGAGTTTGATAGCAAGTGAGAGTTTGATAGTGAGTGTGAGAGTTTGATAGTGAGAGTTTGAAAGCATGTGTGAGTTTGATAGTGTGTGTGAGAGAGTTTGATAGTGTGTGTGAGAGAGTTTGATAGCGAGTGTGAGAGGTTTGATAGTGTGTGTGAGAGTTTGATAGCGAGTGTAAGAGTTTGATAGTGTGTGTTGTAAGAGAGTTTGATAGCGAGTGTGAGAGTTTGATAGGGAGTGAGAGTTTGATAGCATGTGTGAGAGTTTGATAGTGTGTGTGAGAGAGTTTGATAGCGAGTGTGAGAGTTTGATAACATGTGTGAGAGTTTGATAGTGTGTGTGAGAGTTTGATAGGGAGTGAGAGTTTGATAGTGTGAGAGTTTGATAGTGTGTGTGAGAGAGTTTGATAGCGAGTGTGAGAGTTTGATAACATGTGTGAGAGTTTGATAGTGTGTGTGAGAGTTTGATAGGGAGTGAGAGTTTGATAAAGTGTGAGAGTTTGATAGTGTGTGTGAGAGAGTTTGATAGCGAGTGTGAGAGTTTGATAACATGTGTGAGAGTTTGATAGTGTGTGTGAGAGTTTGATAGTGTGTGTGAGAGAATTTGATAGTGTGAGAGTTTGATAGCGAGTGTAAGAGAGTTTGATAGTGAGTGTGAGAGTTTGATGGTGAGTGTGAGAGTTTGATAACATGTGTGAGAGTTTGATAGTGTGTGTGAGCGAGTTTGATAGCGCATGAGAGGTTTGATAGTGCGTGAGAAGTTTGATAGTGTGTGTGTTTGATAGTGAGTGTGAGAGTTTGATAGCGAGTGTGAGTTTGATAGTGTGAGAGAATTTGATACTGTGTGTGAGAGAGTTTGATACCACGTGTGAGAGGTTTGATAGTGTCTGTGAGAGTTTGATAGTGAGTGTGAGAGAGTTTGATAGTGTCTGTGAGAGAGTTTGATAGCAAGTGTGAGAGTTTGATAGCGAGTGTGAGAGTTTGATAGGGAGTGAGACTTTGATAGCATGTGTGAGGGTTTGATAGTGTGTGTGAGAGAGTTTGATAGCGAGTGTGAGAGTTTGATAGTCTGTGTGAGAGAATTTGATAGTGTGAGAGTTTGATAGCGAGTGTGAGAGAGTTCGATAGCGAATGTGAGAGTTTGATAGTGAGTGTGAGAATTTGATAGTGTGTGTATGAGCTTGATAGTGTCTGTGAGAAAGTTTGATAGCGAGTGTGAGAGTTTGATAGCGAGTGTGAGGGAGTTTGATAGCGAGTGTGTTTGATCGTGTCTGAGAGAGTTTGATAGTGAGTGAGAGTTTGATAGTGTGTGTGAGAGTTTGATAGCGAGTGTGAGGGAGTTTCATAGCGTGTGTGAGTTTGATCGTGTCTGAGAGAGTTTGATAGTGTGTGTGAGAGTTTGATAGCGCATGTGAGAGGTTTGATAGTGACTGTGAGAGTTTGATAGTGTATGTGAGAGAGTTTGATAGTGTGTGAGTTTGATAGTGAGTGTGAGAGTTTGATAGTGTGAATTTGATAGTGTGTGCAAGAGAGTTTGACAGTGTGTGTGAGAGTTAGATAGTGTGTGTGAGAGAGTTTGATAGCGAGTGTGAGAGGTTTGATAGCGAGTGTGAGAGAGTTTGGTAGTGAGTGTGAGAGTTTTATAATGAGTGTGAGAGGTTTGCTAGTGAGTGTGAGAGGTTTGCTAGCGAGTGTGAGAGAGTTTGGTAATGAGTGTGAGAGGTTTGATAGTGAGTGTGAGAGAGTTTGATAGTGAGTGTGAGAGAGTTTGGTAATGAGTGTGAGAGGTTTGATAGTGAGTGTGAGAGAGTTTGATAGTGAGTGTGAGAAGTAAGTTAGAATTTCTCATAACATGTACTTTCATTACAAAGTGAGCAAAATTAGTCCAGCTTGAATTTAGAGCAGTGCAATTTGTAAAACAGTAAAAATCTTTGTAATTGTAGGTTTATTATTATCATTATTATTATTAGTAATAGTAGTAGTAGTTTATGTTTTATTATTACAGTATTCCTCAATGTGACACTACAGGTTTTATTTTGTCTATTCCAACTTATTAAATCTCAGATAAACTAAGCAGCCATGCTTGTGCACTTTCAAAGTCCTTATCAGAAAGTCTGTTCACTCTGCAGCCATCTCTACAACGCTGCCTGGCAGTTATTTCCAGCCATTTAAGAACAGACTCCTATATCTTTGAATGGGGAGAGACATGAATACTCGAAACTGAAGGTCAACTCACCATTTAGAAAAAAAAAAAAAATCCTTGATAAAATCTATCAAAAAAACATAAATCGTTTGCATAGGCTATTTATACACTTGGGCAGATTTCCACAACGAGTGGGGGCTTCCCCCTCTTTCGCCACATTATCGTTTAAGGTGATTCTGAGGCTTTATTCACACATACTGCATCTGCGTGGCGTGGAGAGCGGCAGAGCCTTAGATGGTATTTAGACAACAGACCCGGCAACGATTTGTTGCCGCGCGCCGCACGCTTCACGCAGCAAAATACACTGAAATAAGCCATGACAATCAATGAAAGTGAAATAGAAAACCGTATACAAACTTAAAAACGCTATTTTTATTTCATTTAATTCGTGACGACATACTAGTTAAACATTCTGTGCTGCAAACAGATTCTCCGGTTGGTCTAGCATTGGAACTTTTTCCTACTCACAAGTCAGAATGCTGTCTAGGACAAATATACCGTGCACTTTCACAAATTATAGTTTTGTTGAGCAGAGTGACTGATTTGACCATTTATCCCTCTGGAAACAGGAATGTGTGTATAACTTTCTCGGTGCTCCGCTCTGCAGCACAAACGCTGTATGTACGAAAGGCCAGTGCGTTCGAGCTGTAGCGCTCACGCTGCTGCATCGCACACACCACGCAGAGGTAGCATGCGTGAATAACGCCGGAGACACCTGGCCTGCCATACAATATCCTCGGCCATTACCCGCTCGTGGCCTAACCAGCGGATTCGCTCTTTTTTTGAAGGGCGGGACTTTCTCCGTAAACAGACGCCATGTCGAGCGTTACGAGCGTCCCCATTTATATTTTCACCAGTGACCTGTCTCCTTATTTATAACGTCTCTGGCCTTTCAGCGCAGCGTACAGTAGTGAATGGCAATTCTCCTTACTAGAATGTCTTTGCTTTTACGCCACCTGCCGGAGTAAAGGAGAAATAGTGACTTGATCACGTGATCGAGGTTTACCCTCTGCCCTTATCACGTGACGTCCGTATTAGTCTCTTTGCATTACCAAAATTCCTTCCCCGTCAAGGAGGGGACGTTGGACAATGGCGGACACATGTGGCCAAGTACTCCTAGGGTCTGGGCTGACTGTCCTTTCCCACCCTCTTATGTACATCAAGGTTTTAGTACAGGTACGAGCGCTGGTGTCATATTTACAAAAGACATAAACGCTGATTGTCCGCACTGTCTGCTTTAGCCGAGCAGGAGGGGCTGCAGCCGGCCAGACAGCTAACTAACTAACAGTCTACTGGGTAGACGTTAGCTAGGTTAGCTATCTAGTTTATAGAAGGTCCTGAAATAGAGGGAGGCTCCTGTGAAGCAGTGTGGGTCTACTGCAGCACTCTCTTAATGAAGGACCAAAGCCTTTTGTGTAATTTTCTTGACCTGTACAGGGCTGCAACTTATTGCCTGTTGTCTCTTATCTTGAGTGCTAGTGCAAAATCTATTTAGTGCCGGCTAGTCGGGCTGCTGCTAATGCTAACGTACACTTGTTGTCATGAAGAGGTCGCAGTAGTCTTCTCGCTAGGACAGTAAAAAGACATATCCTGTCATTTAATTTAGTCCAGTGTTTATGCTAGATCTGACGTTCATGCGGAATAACAAGCGAAACCAAAAGTCAGCTAGCTAGCTTCTTTTGTTTAGCCACCTAGCTAGCTAAACAGTTTAACAAGGTTATTGTTGTGCTTAGTTGGTGAGTCCGTTTTCATGGAGGCGCGTCCTTTGGCCAGGTCTAAAGGTTACTGAGCTCCTCTTTGCATATAAGAGACCCTATATTGTGACACAAAACTGTACATCTGGGTCAGTGTTACACTGTGTAGTTCTGTGGATGTTTATAAACGGAAAGTGAGTGCTGTAGCTTTTCTCCTACCCACTTGGATTTATATGACTGTATGGTGTTGTCACAGTTTTTAGAAAGGCTTTGAGGCCACGCTTTGTGCATTTTATGATAATAATTGAAAGCACTGCTAGGTGATTGTCACTGTCTAAATATTATATTCTAATAACAGCTTGATTTTTCCTATCACCTTACACAAAAATCTGTAGTAATACTACAGTAAACTTAGGTTTTCTGCTGTATAAAAGTTCTGTAAAAATGTGTCATGATTTCACCTCTTAAATTAATATGTAGTAGTAATCTATAATACTTGTTTAGTAACCTGTAGTATATTACATTTATGACATGAATTTACTGTCATGTAAGATGTTTTTATATCCATGACATCTGCAGAGTGATTGAGGATATTAAAATATTACAGTTTTCAGTGCTCCTGCAGATATCACAAAAATGTATATTCTTCTCTTTAAATTCGGTTACAGAACCTCTTTGATGCCCCATTCATTTACAAGATTTTAACTGGAAACTTTCGTTATTAAGGGTCTCCCCTAAGATGATAAAACTGCAATGGCCACAGGAAAAATTGTATTCCAACGTAAACAGTATAACTTTCTCTGTTTCAGGTGGGACATGAACCTCTTCCACCCACTCTAGGAAGAAATTTGTTTGGCAGACAGGTGTATCAGCTTCCAGGGCTATTCGCATATGGTAAGAATCGCCATCACCTTTTACTTTCATATACTGGAATGTAGTGATCAAATAATGCCTTAATGAACACACTGCTGCAGAGGTATCATTTTGTATGGTGGTATACAAAATTGCGTGTTGTATGAACTTTTAGCTGCCATGCTTAACTTTTCAGAATTAAACTGTATTTTGTGTCTTTTAATAGCTAAACACATAATAAAGATTGATGGAAAATCTGGCCTGTTCAACGGTCTCGCCCCCAGACTTTGTGCAGGGACCATTGGCACCATTGTTCACAGTAGAGTGTTGCAGGTATGATGCAGGTTTGTCTTTAGTATGCTTATTATGTAACCCCTGGCAACTCAGAAGAATGCTGTACATCTGTAACATAACAGTAAGTCATGAGTTTGGCTCCATGTTTATTTGACTGTTGAAGATTATTGGCAACTCTTGTCTCTTTTTGTGCATGCGCTAGTGAGAGTATGAAGTGGTTAGTATTGTTACTGAAGAGCTTTGTATTGACCTTGGCCCTAGTCTGGCACCAGCACTTGACTGACAGCTCAGAAGGCTATTTATACACAGCTTTTATTAACTCTTGACTTTTTTTATTCTCCCCAGAAATCCCAAGAGAGCAAATTTGAGGTAAGGTCACCATACACTGTACTTGTCGTATATACATTGTCATTTAAGCTTAAACAGTAATGTAAACTTAGTCAAATGATTGTCACCTGCAGAATTATCGCAATAAACAATATTATTGGGACCCAAATTCAGTTATTATGTACCATGGGAGCATTACAGAGCCTTACGCTATACCATGTATTTTTCCTGATAGTGATATAATTACCACGTAATTACCAACAGGGCTCGCTTTTAATATTACTTAATTTATAATGATAACAAATGGCTAGTAACACTGTTAACATTCAGTCCACATTTATTTGCTTTGAAGCCAAAATGGTTCAAAATTGGTGTACTGGAACCCTTCTTCTGAATAAGCTTATCCATGTAACTTTCAAACGAAAATAAGTTCTTATTAATTGGTGTTTCTTTGTTCTAATCTTTCAAGGTGACATTCAAAATATGCAGTTAAGTAGTTAGTGTTGTTGTGTTTGTATAATATAATTATGTTAATTGTTTTCTGTGATATACAGTTTTAAACTAACCATAGATTAGAATGATTATACAAAGGAAATGGTTAAAAAAAAAGTAAGGCAAAAAAAATCATGTGTGGCACATGAAATAGAACAAAAGAACCATAATTTGCACAATATTAGCACTTATTCAAATAATTGCAATATTCAAGGATATCAGTTAATAGCCTAAGGCTAATATCATAGCACTGCAGCACTATGAATTAAAAAAATACATGGTATTAAGTGCTGTGGTTTGTGAGCAATGGATGTGTTAAGTGGCAGTTACTGATAATACTGGATATTTAAGAAGGGTTGTGCTGCATAATTTTGAATGGAAGGAGTGTATTGAAATATATATTCGTCAGACCAGTTTTGTCCATATCGTTTTGTTTCTGTCTTAGGTCGTGGGTGGCGGGCGGAAAGCAGAGGAGGGCTCATTGCAGCATGTTGTCAATGAGGTATGTCTCCCATTTAAACCATGATAGAATGCGTATGTGGGTGTACTTAGCTCACACAGTAATTTTTTTTTTTTTACCTCAGTGCATGCTGGGAACGTGTGTGTGTGTGTATGTGTATATATGAGACGCAGAATTCAAGTTGGCAGACAGTGATGCAGTTTTTTTTTTTCCAATTCTTAAAAATCAGCTGTCATTAGTCGGCGATTAATCGTGCTTAAAATAAAGGACACGACCCGTAAAATATCAGTTATAAAACAGTAACTGCTACACTCTAAGCTGTTGTAAAATACCTGTCATTTATGAGACAGAGCTGAATTCTGTATGAATGCAGATATTAAAGTATTCCTTTTATTATGAAAGGTAGCACTGATAGTTGGGGCCAGGCATAAGCAAATATATGAAGTAAATTATTGAAACATTATTAAACATATCCTACTTAAGACCCCTATTTTGTTTAATCTGAGCGGCTGACAACTACAATATAGTCATTGTATGACCAAAAAATAAAAAGTTGATGAAATGACTGGAACACGTAATGATGGGCTACTGTTAGTTTTATATTATAAAGTTATATTTACCACTCATTACTTGTGGTAAAAAAACAAAACAAACACAAATGCCTTGACCAAGACTACCTTTGGCTCAGTGTACCTCAATAGCTCACATCCTTCCTTATAATATTGTGTGATTTGTCACACTGCTGTGCTTCACAGTTTCTCTTAAATAGCTTCACTTATGCTTTGATCTTTCTTGTTATGACAGACAACCAGGGAGATGATAGCACGCTCCTGTGCCACAATAGTCACACACCCATTCCATGGTATTGCTCTTTGAATTTTTTTTTTTTTTCCTTCCTCAATTTTGATTACATTTGTCAAGTTCCAGACAGTATGATCTGGTACTGAGGTCACTCTGTTTGTCTGGTTTCAGTAATCACCCTTAGATGCATGGTCCAGTTTATTGGAAGAGAAGCGAAGTACAGGTCAGCCTTGGTCTTATCTCTTTCTCTCTTTCTTCTCTGTGGTTTTCATTTTGCAAAATTGACATGACCTGTCACTCTTTTCAGTGGTGTCTTTGACTCCATCATCACAGTCTACAGAGAAGAGGGAATCCTTGGATTTTTTGCGTATGTACTGAAATTGGCCTTGAATATAATAATTTGGGCGTTTGGGCTTTTATGTCAAGGGTTTCTTGTTCTTTCACCTCATATCAATAACAGTGTGTGTATGTGTGTGTGTGTTTCCTTGTTTCTGTGTTCTTTAGTGGTCTCATTCCTCGTCTTCTTGGGGATGTTCTCTCTCTGTGGATCTGCAACATGCTCGCTCATCTCATCAACACATACGCAATAGATGACTCAGTAAGTCTATGTGCTACAGCTGTGCATACATCAGAATCACACAAACAATTCAGCTGCAGCAGGCAAACACAATAACGCTAATAAAATGGATAGGTCCTGTTCTATAGTCTGATTGAGTGAGCTACATTCAGTTGTGAAACACTTAATTTTAACACACATGACTGCACACATTAGTTAAATTGTGTATTATTGCAGGAAGTTATTTAAAACAACCATGCTGTTAATGTCATAGTCTTTAAGCATTATGTTGCTTGGCAGACATAGCCTATTGTTAGCAAACTACACTGCTTGGTAGGCTTGGTGGTTTGTAGCACTTAAAAAAATAAATTATACTCTTAAAAAATATTGAGCAGTACCAGAAGAACTACTTTTGATTCTTTAAAAAAATGTTTCAAAATGGTTTTGTGAGTTTGAGGAATGTTCATATAATGTAAATGTTATATAATAATTTAAGGTTTCTTTCAAGAACATTCACATTATGTTGAGGTTGTTTGAACTAACTAACTAACAACGTTCTTCGCAGTCATGCTCTCAATTTAAAAAATGGTTCTCAAAAGAACCATCCATTAAAATTTTTGGGGGGGGGATTTAAATTGGCTCCTCTATGGCAGTTTGCAAAGAATCCTTTTTGACACCTTTATCTGTGTACAAAAAATAAGCATTGGAGAAATCAGTGATACTGCGGTATGGTCCTTCACATAGTGGATAACAACATCACTTAGCTATGGTAAAGTCACTGTGATCCACAGCCTCCACTGGCATATTGCTTTATTTAAGTCTAACATTGTCAAAGCTTTTTGAGAAATCACAACAGTTTCTGGTTTTGTTGTCTCTAATAGATGAGTCACACAAGCGAGATTAAGAACTGCTCTCAGGCTGTGACTGGGGTGAGTAACAGGACCAGGATCATTTGGACAAACCACTTGCAGTGTTTGGTGATTGCCATCTAATAACATACCTTTCTCTCACATTCAGTTTTTGGCCAGTATGCTGACTTATCCATTTGTGTTGGTGTCTAACCTGATGGCAGTCAATAACTGTGGGTGAGTGGGGCACTTTACTTTGGTTTGAGCCTTTTTTGGTTTTACATGTTGTGAGTAGACAAAAAATCTCTCAGGAAGTCTTTGTTTTGATACCTTTTTTGGTCCATTTTAACATGTTTAATTGTTGTCATTGTGTGTGCCCACTTGTTATATAGTAAGACAGATATTAAAGCCCAGTGATGCTTTCTCTGCACCTGTTCTAGGTTGGCTGGGGGTCTACCTCCCTATGCTCCCATCTACCCTACTTGGCTTGACTGCTGGAGTCACCTGAGCCGAGAGGTCAGTAAACATGCATGCACTCTCTGATTCCAATTTGCACATTGTACTGAGGATGCCCTTATATGTGCCCTGCTTAAAGCTCTTATCAGAAACTGCAAACTACATCGGCTGTAACAGAGCTAGTTCTGTGAACGTGGGAAACATGCATAATGTATGGCTTGTGTAATCTTGATGCATTTGTTACTGGAGTATTTGATAGTAGCTGTGAGGTCAGACACATCAATGAAACAAACCTGGATAATAAACTTAGAGACTGTAACGACCATATGCTGAATTTTAGTTTGTGTTTCTAGTTGTTGAAAACATAAAACTTTAAATGTAAAGGGTTGTTAAATATGAATGAACCCGTTAAATCAGGGTTGTCCAGTCTTATCTACAAAGGGCCAGTGTGGCTGCAGGCTTTCACTCCAAACAAGCTGAAGCACACCATATTCTACTTGTTTAATCAGTTGGTCTTAGTTTTCAAACATCAGGTGACCTCCTGCTTTGTTAGATTAAAAACCTGCAGCCACACTGGCCCCCTGCAGATAAGATTGACACCCCTTCCTTAAATGTTCAGGAGCTGCTGGGTCCAGGCTTCAATTCCACTCTTATAACTTAAGAATAACTCAGTTAGCATTGTTTCCCATGTAGTTAGTCAGTAATAAAATGTGCGCAAACTTGTTGTTCAGGAAATCTTGGACTAAATTTTCTTTTTATTAAAGTGGGAAACTCTTGCAAACTTCTAGAATGAGACCTCTCAATTTAATATTTATGTAGAACATGGTAGACTTATGTAGTTAAAAAAATATCTTGTTTATTGGGCTTTAAATATAGAAATTGAATGCTCTAAATAAGCTACACCTTGCACCTAACAAAGAACAGAGTGTGGCAGCTGTAAGAAGAATGAGGAGTTCCATAGTTTAATTGAACAGCTTTCATCAAGACAAACCTATATATGTTTATGGACAGTGAAAATTTGGTTTGCCTGATTGATCAGTTCTACACACCTGTCAGTTGTATTTTGCATAAAGCTCAGCTTTTTCTCCACACTGTCAGCCAAGTTTCTGCATTTTTCACTATTCCCAGTTGTAAACGAATGGGAGTGAAGGTTTAATGAAGTAAGCCTTAAACTGGGTTAAACTGTTAATTGCATTCTTCTACATCCCCAGCTCCTCAGTCGTTGCTTAATTTCTTATTTCTCTTTCTCTCTCACAGGGCAATATGAGCAGAGGCAACAGTTTATTCTTCAGGAAGTTACCAGTGGGGAAGACATACGCCATTGACCAGAAGCGCTTTTTCTGAATAGGATGCTAACAGTATAGTCTTTAATTGTGATAATATAAATGAGATGGCCCGATGGCCTGGGTCGGGGAACTCCTAATTCTTTGTATGCACTTGTTTACGATAACAGACTTTTTTTTTCCTTTTGGAAAATCAGTCTTTGTCAGCTTCCAAAATAATTGTTCATTTTTTTCCCATTATTTTCACTGCAGGTTGCTTTCATTTGGAAACATAAAGAGCTTTATTTTAATATGTAGAGATTTGTATACATACCCAGACAAAATAGACCTCAATGTTAGTGTTTTAAAATCAAGTGGGCTGTAGACAGGAAACTATGAATGTGCTGGCCTCCTCCATGTACCTCCCTCTGAAAAATAAGAATAAAGTAATAGATTTAATAAAAATGTAAAAAGAAGGGTTAAACTCTGCCACCTGATTTCTGACATTATAGCAATTTATCATTCCTATTATCCCCATTGCTTCATGTTTCTGATTGGAAGGTGCTTATCAATTAAGATGTTTTTGTCTCCTAGCCGTCATCCATGTTGACTGACTGACTAAATGATGGATTAAATAGAGAAGTTCCTCCTGTGCTGGCACTGTGCATGTAGCTGTTGAAATGAGTTTTGTTAAACGGCAGCCCAGCTGTCTGCCTGCGTGTGCCCACATGTGTTTGTGCACGTGTGTGTCTGTGTCCTCACGCAGCCCGAGGCGCTGAGACTCACCTGGCTCACCTGAGTGTGGGTCAAGGTTTAGGCCATGGAGAACGCACCCACAAACTGCTGAGCCAGGTAGGAGTCCCTCCAGTCCGATGGCATGAGTGAGACGGCGTGAAACATCTCCCCCGCTCTCCTCGGCTCCTTACCTGTTAAGACGCATTCGGGCCGTATATTTGTATTAACGTTCTGATTGATCCAAATAAATTTAAATATGCCTTTTCTTGGCCTGTTTGTGTGTTCTTTCTCTCACACCATCACTTGCATGGGATTGTGTATCTAGTAAAGTGGTCAGTTAGTGTGCAGTGTTTAAAAAGGACAGTGCTGCTCTATTTAATAAACTGGTGTCACTGCTGTGTTGAGTGGTCCAGGTGTAAGGTAATAAGTGGAGGCCCTCTCTATTGATGGATGAAGTAGAGGCAATGGCTGATAAATTGTGCACTAACAGATAAACTACAGAAAGTGCAGTATACTTGTACCTGTATAAGTGTATCTATATGGTAGGTGTACTCATGGTCAAAAACATTTTCAAGAGGGATGGCTGTTTCCAACAGATTGATGGGTGAATCTCAGATATGGATGAATAAGATGATGGGATATTAATCCCAATAACATGGACAGGGTGGTAATTTAAAAATGTTTTAAAAATGATCATTCCTCATCAAACCACTCTAGATGTTTACATCTTAATGATTTAATTACGTAGAATTTTCCGGAGACGGTGAAATTTCCCTCAACATTGACACTCCGACCCGAGCCAGGTGGCGGCAGCAGATCTCCACAGCAGTTAAAACCTCCGAAAATTAGACAACAAAGAAGAAAGAAGCGAAGTGTTGCAAGATGGCGTCTCTGAATGACAGATCCGTTTGGGATGAGGTGGAGGTTAGTTTTTATTTTTTTCGTTATAATAGTACTTTTAACATGTGTAGAAGTTTTAAAATGTTACATCAGCAGCACAGGCAGAAACGTCTGAAAATCTGACGGTTCTAGTTCATAGCAAATCGAGTTCGTCATGAAGCCAACTCGCCGTTGCCGGGTTGCTAACAGTCCGCAGCATGACACAGTGAAATTACAGCTCTCACTCCAGCACACTGGAGGAGTCTAATGAGTTTATAAAAGCAGAAACTGGTTTGTGGAGAAACCTGTCAGATACTTAACGCGAAATAATAAAGTACAGACGTTCGCATAACAGAGTACTTTATGATGGCTTCTTAGAATAATAGTGGCGAAGTAGTTAGCTAAGTTAGCGATGTTTAGCTGCACAGGCTGCTAACCGGCTCAGAGCGTTATCACAAGAGAACGTACAGTGAAAACGAATGGACGCGTCAGTACGTTGCTACACCTTTTAAAACCTCAAGAACACAGATTTGTTGTTTTGTACATTAAGAGCTGTTTGTTAGCCCACTTTATCTGCCTGCCAGGTCCCGTAAGCTTTATAATATTTTTAGTGTAGCAAGTACTCGTTTAAAAAACAAAACTAGGTACTAAGGTAACTGTTAAGCTGTGCTTGTGAATTCTGTAATGGCAGTACTATAAAGTAGGGGTGGGCAATGTGGCAGAAATTTGATATCACGATATTTGAACACATTTTCTGGATGCAAGATGTGTCCCACGATATTTACCTTTTTGATAAGTTGAAACAGACAGAAAAAGAACCAGTAATATTGCGTTTAAAAATACTATAAAACCCATCAATACAGTGATTTGTATTCAGTGTTTCTTATATTGCAACAGGCCAAATTATGCTCTCTTTGTAATGAAACATGCAGTTGGTCACTGTTCTGTAAGTACTGAAGATATCCACGATATGCTCTGAAAAGCATTGTAATGCAATTGATCACATAATGATACAATATTGCCATATTGCCAACCCTTTATTATAACGGTTATAGGTATTGTACCTGCTATCAAGCTATTTCCCACAGTGTTCAGTTGAAAAAAGGATTTAGCCCCCATGAAATTAAAAATGAGTATGTATTGGTTTTACTAGTAATTTGCCAAATATCTGACTTTAAGGGGAGTTGCACTTGTTATTTATTTTAATTTTTTTTTACAAATTCTGTATAATTTGATCATTAAGATGCAAACAAAGTCACCCAAAGTCTATTGAAATGAGATTACGTTAATATGAGTGCACATTAGAGAAACTTGATAGAAGAAAGGACTTGCTATGTCTACAATGCATAGATAGCCATTTTATTTGCTTTCCAAAACAACCAGTGAACCTACATGTCGTTACATGTAATGTTGATAGTGGTAAAATGGTGGTAAATCTAAAGAAATACGTTTTGTTTGGGGACTATTTTGCCTTACAGTACCTCTCTGCCAAGAATGTTTTATTTTTTTTTTTTAAATACTTTGAGGCCTTTTTTCACAAAACTATTGCAACACAACGTCTCAGAAATCAGGCAGCTTATTCATAACCATTACATGTAAATTCTTTCTGCGAGGTAGCTTTTAGAGGCATTAAACTGAGCAGTTCTGACTTGGTAAGATTTTTTACAACAGTTAGTTCTGGCCACACAAGCTGATTGGTTGAGAAGCGTTCCATCTGTGCTGTTATTTTGCCATAACAGCATGTTTTTTTTTCACAAACACTGTATCACTCCACTGAGAGGCTGTTGCCAAGCAATTGAACGTTTGAACGTTTGACCGTTTTTACTTCTTACTTTGCACACAAACAGAAAATTGATACTTTTAAGATTACATTTGACCTACAGCTGATTTGGTCAGACATGGTGGAACTACTGAAATGGGTTAAAGATTTTAGAATATTAAAGCACATTTAGATAAAATGTTTCGCGGTTTCTTGATGCATTTTCTACTTTGTATTTTTCTTTATTTTATGAGAGTGTAAAATTTTTCGGCAGTAAAAAAGTGGATTTTAGCAGCAAAGTAAAAGGCACTAAAGCTGGTTTTATTTGACACAACCAAAGTAAGACAGGAATTAGTGCAGCGAAAGTAGAAGTCATACAATGAACCAAGAAGTAAGGTAATTGCCTTGAGCAAGAATAGAAATAGAATAGAAGAAAACAAGTGGACAAGGAAAAAACAAGCTTATTGTGTTGGTCTGTGTAAGAAGCTGGAGAATGAACTGCCTGCTGTGCAGCGGGTGAGCGGAGCTCGTTACTCTGATGTAGCAACAAGCTGTTTGTTAAGGAGCTATAATTTGGTGGAAGGAATTGTTAACATTAAAACATGTTAAATGCCACATTCACGTCCCAATTTTTTTATTTCTTACTTTATTTTTTTAACTGTTGTATAAAAGCAATAGAACACTCAAGCTCATGTGTTATCGCGAATAACATCACAGCTGTGATGTTATTTTGCGATAACACACTCCCTCTTGTGTTTTATTCCTTAAATGTTGTTTAGTGAATACGTTTGTTTATAGAAGTCTTACCACTTTGCTAAAATGGCTAATGTCCTTTTAGCTATACTAAAGAGAGAGAGCTGCATGGGTTCCTTGTACTGGAGGACCGAGAAGAATGCATTAGATTTAAGCAGTTTATCTACCTAAATGTTGTTAGTGATGGCTATTTTCATAATGCACAAATTGTGTGGTAATGAGAGTAATAAATAGATCATGTGTATCACTGACTGAACAAAACTCGCAAAACTTTTTCGCTGCTGAGTGCCGTGTTTCTACAAACTTGATGCAGTCTTACTATTTTAGTACATCAAAGCGCAAGAATGCTGATGGAAACCTAAATTTATGGCTAAACAGATTTGCTTGCTACCTCTTGCGGTTTTGCAGGATGGGATCGGCGAGGAAGTCCTCAAGATGTCTACTGAGGAAATTGTTCAGCGGACACGGCTACTGGACAGTGAAATAAAAGTAGGTGATCTGAATGCTTATCACAAAAATGGGTGATGATTCTCATTCCACAGGTTAAACGAGTTAATGACTTGCTTGTTTAATCTCTGTGCTCCTTGTGTTGTTGGTTATAGATCATGAAAAGCGAGGTGCTGCGAGTCACTCACGAGTTGCAGGCTATGAAGGACAAGATCAAAGAAAACACAGAGAAGATTAAAGTGAATAAGACTCTGCCCTACCTCGTCTCCAATGTCATAGAGGTAAGCAAAGCTATTCTGAATTCAAATGAGGCCTTTGTTTTCTATGTGGAGTCTTTTTGGAGTCCTCACTGTAGAAGTCTGGTTTTCTGAACATGTTTTCTGAAGTTAATGCTATTTCTAAACAGAAGAGCTGTATTGATGAAATACTCCTTGTGAAAGTGTCGAAAGTCTAGACTTGCTAGCCATTGCTCAAAAAAAAAAAATCTAATTTGTACAACTTTCCCCTTAGATCAAAATTGAGTTGATCAGCCAAGACATGTTTGATATCTGAAGAAAATAATGGAAACGTATGATCTCCATCTGGCATAATGAAAACTGTCTGTCAGTAAACATTTGCCTCAACGTGTCAAGTTGTTAAGTAATCATAAATAGAATGTTAGTTGGTTTCTGACTCTGTTTCTTTAAAGATTAGTTTTGATTGTGTAATAATAGTATGCCATACAGTGTTGGAATCCACATTTATTTCACTTTAATTATACATGGGTTGGGTAAGGTGTATGCTGGTGTAAAGCACATTGCTGGTTGTTAAGGTATAGTCTAGAGAAATACAGAAATGAAAATTCTGGACCGATGCCGATGATATAATGTAGAAACTGGAACTAGGCCCACCTAGATTAGCATGACAGAGCAATATAACTGATTTGCAAAGAGTTACATATGCAGTAAAAGTAAAATGCTGACATTTTAGGGCAGTAGCCCAGCGCCTAAACATTCAGCTTTTCTGGAGTACGATAAATCCATTGTCAAATATTGGTTTTGAACATCGGTCATATCTAAACATCTGTCTAATGCCAATAATCTCTTTCTAAACAAATATCTGCCAACACCTATGTGGTTTTGATATCATTGTGCATCTTTGATATCAGTATAAGCTTTCATTACTTATTAGTGAAATGAGCCTTGTAGCGTCTTTTCTTTCTTTACTAAAGAAGCAAACTGCAACATGAAATACATCTTCCCTGACAAAATATGTGGTTTGAATGTAATTTGTTGAACTATAATTCATATCCTTTAATCTAAAAAAAACTGAAACAAGTGTTGACTTATGTGTATGTGTATATGGCCAGTAAATGCAAGTCATGCTGCAAAGTACATTATTTTAAAAAGAATGCATTTCTTTGTGTTGTACACTAGAGGTAGTTGTCT